TATTGCCTGTAAGGTGACTGTTACTGTATATTGTCTGTGTTCCTTTCTGATCTATGCTGCTTTTAGGCTCTCTCTTTGCTTAGAGGACCCCTTTCCAAAAATTTTATTTATTAATATTCATACCCTAATTCGAGCATCATGAAACATTAACCCAAATCTTACCAGGACTGTTTAAGAAAGAATAGGTTTCTATAAAGTTAGCTTGTTTAATCATTCCTATATTTTTCATGGCTATAGCAAATATTTTTATTAGTGATAGTGGCAACATGAACTCCAACAGCAAATAATGTACATTATAAAACATCCAGCTAAGCCTGAAAATACCTTTGAGAAAGTATAGGACTCAATGTGTACTTATTTTCTGTATATACTCATAGAGTAGCTAGATATATAGCTTTGTACCAAGGGATACAACATTCTTCTTAAGAGCATTCTTCTTATTAAAGCTGAATAATGGAATATATTTGGGTAGTTTTAGAAATAATAAAACTAGGGTAAGAGTAGGGAACCCAGGTTGCATACAACAACTCAACTTACATAATAACATGTATCTTAAGCAAATGCATACATTTTGATGTACAGGAATCTCCTCCTGGATTTAAGAATGTATTTGCTTTCTTTCTTCTCTCCTTTTAAAATGATAGGGGTATCAATTTCAGGGCAGGAAGAAAGAGCCTTAGTTAAGTAAAGTGGTAGCAATCCTTCATGATTGCCTACCTTCTAGAGGTTGCAAAATCAAATAGAGAATGGGAGTGATGTCTGCTTTGGAGGGGGAAGAGACTGATGTCTAGACTGCCTGAGGCCCTCTGAGCAAGGAAATTACTTTTACCAAGACTGCCATGAGCCATGACTTGTGCTAAGTAGTACATTACATTTAGTTCAACGAGTTGTAGGCAGCAGCATTTATGTTAAAGTTGAGCAAACCAAAGCTTAAAAATTTTTGAGTAATCTAACTAAGTGGCAGAACCAGGATGCTTCTGGTTCTTAGATTCTGGTCTCTCTGGTCAAGTGCCATCAGTGTTGCCACCCACGTGAGTGGATATGGTGATGCACTCACTACATCCCAGAAAAGCCCAGTGGACAGGTGTTTATGGGTATTTGGTGAAATGTTACTCATTTGTTTATCCTTCTACAGCTTGGCTCCTCTGCGGACTTTTAAAGAATTCAGTTATTTAAGCAGATTATGTAAGCAAATGTTAAGGTATCTTATAAGGAAAATATTCATAGCTGAGCAGTAGAAACTTTCAACTCAGCTTTTCACTGCGGATCACCTTTTCTTTGTAAAGCTCTTCTTTTGCATTCCTTTGATAGGGAATGTTGGGTAATTCAAAATCGTCTCTGGAAATTGGGGATAAATCAGGCATTCATAATCTCTCATTGTTTTTCTTTTTGTGTTTTCTTTCAAACCTTGCACTGGTTTGGTGTATATACATGTATGTTTGAGTATGTGTGAAGAATTGTGTGCAATTCATTGTGGATTAGACTCTTCAGTAAATATCAAACATAATTTACAAAAAAAAAATCATCTCTGGGTAGCTTGGTGGGGTATCACAAGAAAACACAGTCACCTGGAATCTTACCACATAGCATGTAATGACTATCTCCCAAGAACCCTGACTGCAGCAAGGCATTCTTGGGGATGGCCCAGAGCAGAGATACCAGAGGCTGCCTGAGAAGTGGGGTCAGGCGGGTAATGTCATGAAAGGCAGATCCTTTTGATCATAGAAAGATGAGCACTCAGGGGTGCCTGGGTGGCTCAGTCATTAAGCGTCTGCCTTCAGCTCAAGTCATGATCCCAGAGTCCTGGGATCGAGCCCTGCATCAGGCTCCCTGCTCAGTGGGAGTCTGCTTCTCCCTCTCCCATTCCCCCCCGATTGTGTTCCCTCTCTCGCTGTCTCTCTCTGTCAAATAAATGAATAAAATCTTAAAAAACAAAATTTGAGCACACAGAAAGCCAAAGAGGAAACCTAAGGCGGGGAGGAGACTCACTGTGCAAACACATAATTACCAAACTCAGCTTGATTTGAATACCAAATCTTTTGAGCATTTAAAATTGGATCTGACACCAGTAGAATCCACTAATCATACTTACCAACAGGAAACAAACAACAAGTTAAGAGCCTCATGATAAAGCGCAACAGGCAGTAGATGGCATTGGAAGCATTGACACTAAGTCTAATCAAGTCTCTAGGATTAACCATCAGATTCCAGGATCTGGGGAAGAACAGATTAACACCATAAGAATGCTATTGGCCAATTTCAAAACATGGAGAATTCTACACAACAAATGCCTCAGTTTCCCCCTTCTAGCCATTACAATGAATGTACTGTAGAATGGGAATGCTGAAAATAAGGTTAAGTGGGGTGCCTGGGTGGCTCAGTTGTTAAGCGTATGCCTTGGGCTCAGGTCATGATCCCAGGTCCTGGGATGGAGCCAGGCATTAGGCTCCAAGCTCTGCAGGAAGTCTAATTCTCCCTCTCCCCGTCCCCCTGCTTGTGTTCCCTCTGTTGCTGTCTCTCTCTGTGTCAAAAAATAAACACAATATTTAGAAAAAAAAGAAAAAAGCTTAAGCAAATAAAAGAACAACAATTACTAATACTAATATCACTTCTTCCTTAGATTCCAGCAAGAAGAGAGTTAAAACATGTGCTTTAAGAACCTCGGCATTTCAGAAGGGCTCCAACACTTGCCAGCAGAACCAGTGCAGAGCCGCTCCTTCTGCAAAGCCAGGACAGCTCTTTGGAGTTTCCCTCATGGATGTGTGTGATAAAGACAACCTGCCCTCCACAGTTCTGGTAGGTCATCTCATTTTGGTCTTCCGTAGCCCTCCTGAGGAGGGGAAACTCTGAGAGGCCAAGTGTCCTCATCCAAATCTATCCCCAAATGGAGAAGTCATTAGACAGCCCCTGGCTTTGGCTGAGAAGCTCTGTTACTGTTATTTCAAAGAATAGAATCTGATTTAGGTACTGCAGAGTCATGAGGTGAATACAACAGGAAAAGGCATTCTGGTCCATTCCACTTGTGTCTTGTTTCCACAAAGACCCACGTAGGCCTGTTCAGATCAGTCAAAATGGACTCTGTGTCTGTGAGTCTCTGAGAGGCCACTTCATCTTCACACTCTCCCTTCACTGCCTTCCCGAACTCACACTAGTCTCAAGTCTCCTTCAGCGGAGTCTACTCAGTCTAACAACTGCAAACATCTGACACGAGCATAAAGACTCATCCTCTGGCAAATAGGAATCCATTAATCCTAACAGAATATGTCAAACGAAAGCCACAGAGTTTGGCCTGTGTTATCTCAAACTGGTGGATTGAATTGTCAGTGTTGACATTCACGGAGTATTCGGTATCTCTGCAAGCACTGTGCTGGATGTAGGGAACGTTCTGCTAGATATGAAGAAATGTATCATATTAGCTAGCATGTGACATGCTAGCTATACCCCAGTTCCTTGCATCACAGCAAATTTAGGGGGTAGCTAGGATGATCAACCTCCGCACTTCCCAAATGAATCAGAAAAGCCTCAGTACAGTATGTATGTGCCCCAGCTCACACAATAGATAAGTAGCATAATAGACTTCAGATCCGTTGGATTACCTGACTCCGGCCCTTATTAACTTTCTACACAGCCGGGAGAGGACATGAAGATAGAGCAAAAGACAATGAAAGACTCATGAGAAGGGAGTGTAATCAGAGAAGGAGAAGAGAGTTTTTGAGCCTGATTTTAAAAGAGGGAAGGAAAGAGAAGAAGTAGGAATGGAGTATACAGTCACTTAAAGAGAAATAAACAAATGGGAAATGAGTATTTCCTAAATAGACTTCCATGCTTGGGGGAAGAGCATCTATGTAAGGGAATAATGAGAAAAGAATGGCAAAGTAGGAAACAGACGGTGATTCCACAAAGGCCTTGAAGCAGAAAAGTTTGATTTAAAAGTGTAAATTCAATGGAAAGGAAAATCTGATTAAAATAAGTGTTTAAAATGTTTCAGTGTATGGCTGTAAAATGGATTTTTGGGTAGAAAATGTATAGAGAGACACTGAAAAAAAAAACAACAAAAAACAAGCTAAATTGACTTTAGTCCTTCCCACTGTAAAACAGTGTACCATCACATTCCCCCGCTCTTTCAAAACGGAGGCAAGCTTGTGCTCTGGGTTTGTGGATATGAGACGCCATATACTTTTCTTTTCTTCCTACAGGATATGCTTTCCTTTATTAATCAAAAAGGGCCACTCACAGAAGGCATCTTCAGAAAATCAGCCAATATAAAATCATGCAGAGTCCTAAAGGAGAAACTAAATTCTGGGCACAAAGTGAACCTGGACAGCGAATCTGTTCTTGTGGTCGCATCCGTCTTAAAGGTAGGGAAGGTTCTAGCATTATCCACACACGAGTAACTGAAGCTATGATTAGGGTCCTTCATCATGACTGCTCAAGAACCATAATGGGCATAATAGATTAAGAACCTGACAAACTGAAAAGCGCTTGACAAAATCAAAATTTAAGGAAGCTCCTTTAGGAGTTAAAAGCCCCATATGTTAGAAATACTTTCTGTTTTCACCACACACCGCCCTCCCCACCTTCACTCCTGGAGACTCCCTGCAAAATACTCATACTAAAATGACTACTAGTAATGATAATAAATTTCAAAATACGCGCTTACACATACACAATTGTTTACCAAAGCAAACATCCTCACCACCCTCCTAATGAAGGCAAAGTTTCCAAAGGCAATAGAACAGAGGAAGAATTTAGTCCATCCACCTTGGCACTGATTAGCAGCTCTGAACAACTCTATGTTAATGTAGTAATGACTACAGTCTTAGAATCTCAGTCACATTTGGTCTTTCCTTGTCCCCCATTAATGTTCGACGATAAGATAAAAGCAATGGTCCAGAAATGACGTAGGTAACCACTCCTACCCTGGGGCCATAGTAATATCCACTAGTAATATACATATAGGCATCGGGAGACAGGAGAAGAATGATGATACACTAGGTAGCAAGATGAGTGTTGCCCTCCGTAAGGTGCACGCATGGAATTGATTTTCTAGCAAGAGTTAGTAGGTTCTTTCCTAATTCCGTGTGATAAGCACCGACTAGGAAGAGGGTGAGCACTTGTGGGTATAGTGCTTAGACATTTCTAAAGTTTTCTCTTCCTAAAGCTGACTGATCTTGGTGAAGAATCAGACTCTGCACCCTTGGCCTTGATAATATCGTGTCAAACTAACTGGAGAATTGGCCTAAACTAGGAATGAATATATCCTCAGGACCACGATGAGTCTGCCATTAGACCCTCGACTTTTAGACAGTTAAGAAAAGGAAGAATGAAGCAATTATGAGACTAGCTTTCTTCCAGGGAGCACACATACCCCAAATCAGAAGACCTGGTTCTTTCCTAATATGTGTGCAAGAGCACACCTGTTTGTGTTTTGTTTGTTTCAGAACTTTTCTTGCTAGAATTAAGAGCTAGCACTGTGTCTAAAACAAGCAAAATGGGCATGTGTATTTCTGTCCAAGAAACTAATAGGATTTAGGATGGTCTATAGCCAGACCCTGTCAGTTTGTGGTACTTTGCAAAAAAAAAAAAAAAACAAAAAAACACACGCAAAAAATAAGTTCCAGATGATAGAAGGGAGCTTTATCTTCATTTCCACCACAGCCTAAGCTCTGCTTTTAT